ACGCGCTCTGCTAACTGCGCAGTAAGCAGCGACTGCGCTTGTGCTGCGCTGTAGTGTGGGCAACATTATAAGAATTTATTTGTTGAATAATTTAATTTCTAGACGTACAATCTTAACGAAACTTTCAGAATATAATCATAATGTTCAAATGTATGTACATTCCAAAGCACAAGTCTCTAGTATTTGAAATACGCCTTTTACAAAGGTGAGGGTGAGGGGGTGGATATAGGGGTGGGGGGAAATTACAACAAAAATCGAAATTATATAAAATACATATAAGTCTATATATAATTTGGAAGCTCTAGCTCTAAAGGTGTAGGAGATATAATTAAATAACTAGCATTCGATAAGGTTTTTGATCGATAATAAAATATCGGGAGTAGTTATCGTCGATAACTGGGAAAAGATCGATCTTTACGTAGATCGATATTTCGATATTATGTATGGGTCTCAGATCGATGTATCGATATTTTCATAAACATATTTTAGCTCCCAAAATTAAAAAAAAGTTTTCATATAAAAAACAAAAGATGAATTTCTTATTAAAATTAAAAAACGTTTCATATAAACTAAACTAAACTATGTAACAAAGATTATATTATTTAATAAGATCATTTACTTCGTCCAATCATTTTTGTTTATAAAGAGCAGCATATCTACTTGCTGCGGCTTGAGACAAGCCTCTCCATTTTCCTTATCCGCGTCGCAATCTACAAACAAATGCGTGTTTGTTACATTATTTTAAAACGCAAAAGCTGCAGACCACGTGTGTGGCTGACATAAGCAGTAAAATAATATTTACCTTCGCCATTGTCCTTGCTCTTTAAAAACTTATCCATTTCTCTACAACACTACCAACACCAAAATCCTAAATGAAAAGTGGGTTACGTTAGTATTTGAATTATATAGTTAAAATAATTTGCAAATTACCTGACAGTCTTATCCCACGCTTTTAATTCAAGTGATGGGCAATTAATGGTATAGTGATGGCGATATATCAAGTATCGAAGTTTTCTACATCGATATTTTCGATGGATATGAAAAATCGATATATCGTTTGCTAGATCGATCTTTTTTCTTTAAATATCCCTTTTATCGATATTTAAAGAAAAACTTGATATGCGCGTGATATACACGGACCTAGGAAAAAAAATTTCAAGTCTCTAGCTCTTATATCTTCTGAAATCGGCGCGTTCATACATACGGACGGACGGACGGACGGACAGACAGACGGACAGGGCCAAACCGACTTAGCTCGTCGCCCTGATCAAGAATATATATACTTTGTTGGGTCTGCCACGCCTCCTTCTGCCTGTTACATACATTTCAACAAAACCATTATACCCTGATTTCCCATTTTCAATGGGTTCAGGGTATAAAAATCACGTTTTTTAAATACAAACTCCAAATCTTTAAAGACGATTTAACTAATTTAATTCATGCCATAGACGGGGCAAAAACAAATACAATAAACTCAATAATATTGTCAGAATCCGAAGTCAAAATAATAGAGCAGATACTAGAAAGAGAAAAAATCATGTTCTTAAATGCAGAAGAATTGTTAGAATTTAGCCAAATAAAAATCGCAAGTAATGGGAAAAATATACTCTATATAATCAACATACCTTTAATCTCAAATGAAGTTTGTACAACCATGTTAATTAAGCCAATTAAAAGAAAAAATTATATCAATGAAATAAAATTCGAAAATATTGTAAAATGCGAAAATTCAATCTATGCTATAAGAGACTCATGTGAGTCACATAATGAAATACAATTTGTAATAAAAATAAGTTAGTCGACTTAAGAAATGATACTTGTACTCTGCCACTATTAAAAAGCCAACCTCCAAACTGCCGTGCTATCAACAATCAACACGTACCCAATCATGAACAGTTGTTTGTCGGAACAATATTGCTCAACGATTTCAATGGATCAATCAAGATCGACGAAGAGGAAGTAGAACTCCATGGTACCTTCCTGGTACAATTCGAAAACTCCACGATACGCATCGAAGATGACATATACGAATCAAAAGTAATGTCCTTCGCAGAAGCCACCCCACCGCTATTTCAAATCATGGCGAAAACAAACAAGATCGACGAAGTCCTTTCACTGCAAATGCTCAAGGAAATAAATCTAAACAACACAAGAAAATTAGAAACCCTAAAGAGCAGCAACGATATAAGAGCAACAATCAATATAACTCTCTCTGGAACTCTACTGATAATTATGGCCGTAGTTGGATATTTGCTAAAACGAAAGACCCCAGCCACCACAGGCCAAGTCACAACACCCGAAGCAGAAAAGAGAGAAAATGCTCAAGTTTTCTATATTGCGACCGAGGACGTCCGCATCTAAGGGGGGAAGAGTTAACGACAGACCCTAAAAAAGGGCATTGCACCGGCCCAATTATATCACGGCTCCAGTGCATGCACTTTTGACACGTGCGCTTTGTCAGCAGAATACAACAGCAACGCAACCGCAACCGTGGGAGCCTATCGTTAGCAATATTAATAAGATCAATGCACTTGGCCAAAACACATTCTGGTCAACGTGCGCATTTCCGCCACGAGCGCCGAGTCAGCGCACCGATCAGCAACCACCGTGAGAGTCATCGTGTCACAAGACACCTATCAGCAGCAACAGCAGTGACCACGGCGGCAGCGACGCCAATAGCAGCAGCGGCAGCTTTCATATAAATATTACTTGTATAATTATTCTTAAGTTAGTTCTAATCCAACTCCGAAAGTAAATAAATGTTTTTTTAATACAAAACCGATTTCGAATTTTTAATTTATATAAGTTAAGCGCTCCCATACTAGAGTACTAGTGATTGGGGGACGCTGTGTTGGGTTCTTGTGAATATATAACAACTTTGTGCTCAATGAAATAATATATTTTATATAATTTGGAACAATAGGTCTAAACTCTCTCCAGTCCGAATATAAACTGAACAAAATCTGTTCAACTGGTTAGGTTCTCCCCTTGAATGTCTGACTGGACTCTCCAGCCTCCTTAGATTGTCGAAAGTCTTAACTCTTCCCCATCTAAATATCTGCGTCCCGCAGATCAGGGTGCATATGTCCATTATAACGATATTCATCCAATATAAATTGTCCAATATAATGATAATTATCCAATATAAATTGCCCAGTGTAATGATATTTATCCAATATAAATTTATTATCCATAGTCGATAGTTCCAGAGTCCATAAATTAGCATAATGAGGGCCATCGATATCCACCTTCAAGTTAATTCAAAGCATTCATAGTTCCATACATTAGTAGTATTCATTTCTGGTTATGACAATACATCCAACATTGTAAGCGCATTTATTTCATTGCCTCTGGCATCTCGGAAATCCCTATTACCATGAATGATCGAAACTAGGATGGATATACCACGTGTAAAATGCTGTGGATGCTATGGGTGCTAAGGAAGTTAAGGAAGCTAAAAGAAGATTATTGCAATATAATTAAATGTGCTATGGGTGTAGGGTGTAGGAAGTCAAGGAAGTTAAAAGAGGATTATTACAATATAATTAAATGTGCATTTTCCTTTTTTTTTTTTCCTATTTTCTTAAGTCTGATTTATGAAGAATTTTTCCAGTTTTTGTTTTGTTGATAATCATTAAATCCACGAGACATATATGTCCCTTGTACACCTTGTACCCTTCTACACCATTAATGAAATATTCTGTAAATTCACACAAATGGCATAAGCTTCCGGTAAATTTTTAGGTTTGCTAACTGTTGACATCCTCGGTAGGTCACCGTTTAGTCCCCTTATGAAAACATCTAAAGCTCTATCTCTATATGATTCTATTAATGTGGACAATACTACGACTCATTGTTCGCTTGCCTTTAAGGCCTGTAAAATTAAAGAAAACTGACTATTAACTTGCTTATAGTAGGTTTCCAAGTCGTTGTTGCCTTGAATCATTTGATTCAATTCGTATTCCAAGGTTCGAACATCCCTTTTATCAGCATAATGCAATCGCCAAACTCGCTTAATTTCAGGCCAATCATCATTTTGTACACCGTAAGATTACAGTGAAACATCGGCAATTCCAATTACTTTTCCTCGTATATGTAAAATTATTGAGCGATATAGAGGTCTTTCCTTGAAAATAGAATAATCTTCAAGTACGGACTCGATCCAACACTTTAACACAGTCCGGCAATGACGAAATTTTATTTAATTCAAGCTCCGAACGTGGACGGGCCAGTGAGGGTTGTTCCTCTATGAGAGACTGATTAGTATCCTCCTTTTCCAAACGTTCCACTTTCCTATTCAATTGCTTCAAATCTTCCTTAAGACTCGAAAATTGATCGGCTAACACAGTTATTGCCGCGCTCAGCCCTTGCAACGTTCCGAACTAAATTATTTCAATGTCGGAAAACTTACTTACTATTCAATTCGATGCCTACTATGTAATCGATCTAATTTTCTACATTAAATCAGCTTTTCATTGTTTCCAAGCTGCTGCTATTTACCGTTTCCAGTGGAGATAAGAAAATATTAATAATCGTCTCGTAGAATTGCTTCCTGTGGAGATAAATATATTAGTAATGCTCTCACATGGTGGTAACACCTTTTTTAAATAGTTGACGTGAATATTATTTCTTTTATATTATTTCATTGAATTACTAATTGTATTGAATTACGTGTGTGTATTACCACGTGTGTTATTGCGTTGACTGAATTACTAGTTGTATTATCTTTTGTTACCGAACCGGCAAACAGTTTTTATTATTTTATATGGCTTGGGAAGCCCTCAAGATCCTTTTTGGTGTAAGACCTACTTAGGTGAGGGTGGTTCCACAATCATCTGGTCTCTCTCTTGCTTTCGTTTCATTTATTTATTTATTTTACTTTTTTGTTTTATATATTGTTGCCAGACTTATTCTCTTCCGAAAGGGAAGCCCAAAGTATTCCTCTTTGGTTCTAAGACCTACTAGGGTAAGGGTTATTCCACGATCGAATAGAAGGTCTCTGCAATTCATGTTTTTATTTTTGCATATTTATGCTTTGCTTGTTGATTAGAGATTTCCAGACAACCGCCTTTTAATTTTGTTATATAGTTAGTGCTTTAAACTTAACTTTGACCACTAGGTTTCTTTTAATTTATACGGAAACCCATCATTCAACACAGGTGGAAATTGTGACGTTTATTTTTTATGACATTTGTCTTACGGCAAGGATTTGAACCTCGATACGAGAATCAATCTCGTACCACCATTATGCCTGCAAATTTCTTGTATTTTCGTTTTAAGACTCGTCTCGGCACGGATTTGAACCTAGGTATTGCCAATACCACCATTTAGCCACGATTTCTTTTATGTTATAGAATTATCTAGTGCACCAACACTTGCTAGAAATTATGTTATTATTTATTGTATTATTTTATGGCAAGGATTTTCACCCCATTACTTTGCAAATCGCAGAAGTACTTCGTAATTTTGCCAACAATTACCCAATTGGTTTGGAACAATTTATTTGTACTTGCTTTTTTAATAAGTTATTTTTATAGAATTATTGACACGTCACCATTTCCCTTTATTTCCGTGAAGAATGTGGGTCCCTGCTCGGGCGCCAGTTAAGCGCTCCCATACTAGAGTACTAGTGATTGGGGGACGCTGTGTTGGGTTCTTGTGAATATATAACAACTTTGTGTTCAATGAAATAATATATTTTATATAATTTGGAACAATAGGTCTAAACTCTCTCCAGTCCGAATATAAACTGAACTAAATCTGTTCAACTGGTTAGGTTCTCCCCTTGAATGTCTGACTGGACTCTCCAGCCTCCTTAGATTGTCGAAAGTCTTAACTTATATCATAGCTCGCAGTTAACTGTTAACACTTTTTCGATGTCTGCAAATAAGTGTCTTTCACTGACACAATCAAAAAAACTCAGACAGAAACTGTTTTTGTCGCGTCTGGCTTAACTCGCTCGCGCTCTGAGGAAGACAGTTATTTCTGTTTTCGTTTCCTCAAGTCAAACACTGATCGTTTGCTTGAGTTAAATGAAGCAAACGGTAAGTTGCGTTTGTATGGGTAATCACGCGCGATTGCTGCGTTCTTTTTGTATGTATGTATGCGTGTATTTACATGCACACGAAGGCAAAAACATTTTCTGCTGAGTTTTTTAGTCAAACTGTTTTTTGCTGAGAGTCTTTGTGTGAGGAAAAATCGTGTTAGTTTTACGCGACGCTCATGTGAGAGCGTCACACGAATGAATCATTGCATTGCGTCTGAGCGAAACAGATTCTAAAGAAAACAAAGAGTGACGCTCAGAGCGAGACGTGTCTGCACAATTTTTTTGGTTATGATGCGAAGAAGAGCATAAACGAAAAAACGATCAACTCTCATATGCAAGCTCTGATATATATATATATATATACATATATATCTATTTTAAACAACGTTTTCATTCGAGTATTGGATAGCTAATGCTCTCCGTATTTTATTCAAATAAAGTCGTAGCCTAAAATACATAAAGTTTACATAAAGAATTCTGTCGCTAAAAGCAGCGGCAGAATGGGAGTATATAGCATGCTGTATGTGTACGTATATATTTGTTTGTATGCATATGCAGAAGGCATATACATTTTAGCGTTTAAGCTGTGGCGTGGACAAGAACGTAACAATGCTTACGTTGCAGATCCCACGCTGCAGGCCGGTCTAGGGACCGATCATATTACGGCACTTATGTATAGCTGTTATAATATAAATAAAGCAACAAAGTGTTGCTATGTTGTGAGCATGATACTCTTACTTATATTTTGGGCATATGTCAACTTCATATATTGTATACATATATATATATATATATAATATAATATATATATATATATGTATATATTCTTTTTGTGCAATTCAATAGATTATGCTGTAACGAACCTTCGGTTTATCCCGAGTCTAAGCTGGGCTAGTTTCAGCTGACTGTGGATTCGTTGCCAACAAATTTATTTGTTGAAGCCCCTGCGATAATTAATTAGTCTTGTGGTTTAGGTTTTATAGCGCAATGGTATATTTTCTTAAATAAATATGAAATGTACACGTCACTTATGTAAATGTATGCTGGCTCGCTGGTTTGCTTAGCGACGCACACCTACTGAGCGCTTGTTCAACGCACTCCGGCTGGGAGAGTGTTGTGCTAAACACGCTATCTCACCGTAAGGATTTGAGAAACGCCAGGATCTGGATCTGCTACTATCTCGCTCACTCACAGCATAACACTAGCTTCGTTCAGGACTTTGACCCCCTTTCCAGTGCGAGGGTCGCTCCTACAGTATTCGCGTCGCTGTGTGGAGCAACATGTATATGCACGTATATGCATATAAACGCACAGCAAATACGTACGTCCATATACACTCATACGTGCATACCTATATTGCTCCTCACACTCCCCTCTTCCTTCGGGAAAACACGAGACCATCGTGTTTGAATTTGGCGCCCGCCTCCGCTGCGCTGCTCCGTTTTGCGTCGCTCCATCCCTCGATGCTCCATTTTGCGCTGATCGCTGCTGTTAACGCTCTGTTAACGTTATCAGCTGCATTTTCCCCTTACCGCTGGCAATGCTGCATTCTGCCGGTAAGTGAATGGGGTTAATACTTTTATGTCACACATTTTTAATAAAAATATTGTTTTCAGTTTGGGCATCTTTTCCTCTATGCCCCTTGACCTGATGGCCTGCCGCTGCCAATGCCCACGCCGGGCGCTGCTGCAAAACTCGCCTCTCGGTTTTGCAGCCCCCGGTGGCATTGGCGCACGCGCGCACGGCAATGGCCATTTCGCCCATTTGGCGCATACTCTCCCTCGCCGTTGGAGACATCTCTCTTCGGGTTTCTGCTGCTTCTTGGCCCCTTGGGGGTGCTCCGGTGGGGCATCGCAGTCAATACATGCACTGCTGCTATGAGATCGGGCCACAGACGTCGTTCGCAAATGGGCACCGGTGTTCGATCTTTGGTGTCGGTGCGCTTGTTGGCCACTCCTCTTTCGCGCACAGCTCCAGCGGAGTCGCTGGCCAGTGCGCGAGGATTCGGTTGCCAAGCTTTACCGACACCTGGCGATCCATGACCGATGGAGCCATTCGCGTGGCAGGCGTCTGTAGTCACACTCTCACAGCAAACAGCCACATCTCCGACTGCATGCCCGCGTGCAATATGGGCCGCCGCTGCCTCCACCCACGCCGGACGCTCCTGCACAACTCACCTGTTGGTTCTGCAGTCTCCGGTGGCTTTGGCACTCGTGCGGCGGCCACCTGCCTCACCATCTCCTTCGTCGTTCATGTTAGCAGCTGCCCTCCTGGATGCTGCTATGTCTCTGTTGCGGCGCTGCAGACACATAGTTGGATTGCTGTTGGGAGCTGGCCACATCGATGTCGTTCGCAACTGCCACCGGTGTCGAACTTTGACGCCGGCTGCTATTTTGCGGCTCACTCCTCATTCGCGCACAGCTCCAGCAAAGTCGCTGGCCAGTGCGCGAGGATCGGCCAACAAAACGCGCCTACGCCCCAGCACAGACAACCGGTTGGATTCATCGCGTGGCAGGCATCGATGGCGAACCAATCTCCCAATGGCAACCCAAAAATATGCCTGCATGCTCCTCGTCTTCACTTGGAACACTTCACTCGACACACTGCACTCGAGCGCCGTCGGTCCACTCTGGTAACTCATCCACAAGAAGACCCGGCCCGATGCCAACATGCCCATTTATACCCTCTGCTGCCGCGCCGCCGGCTGCGTAGGCGGCAGCATATAACGGGTCCTGTGTCCTCTGTTCAGCCCACTCTAGCTTTCCCTGCCTTATGGCTGAATTCCAGGCAGGCTACGGTATCGCCTTGATACCGTTTTCCACACTCTCACCTACACATGCATACATAGCCCTTCGGTGGCCGAACAACCAAATGCAAGCTCTTCTGCTGCGTTGCATTGTTGTTGGCCGTTTTATGTATCTCTTCGGTAGTGATTGTTTTATATGTCGCTGTGTGTTTTGTTGTTGGCTGTTTTAGTTGTCTCTGTACATTTTGTTGTTGGCGGTTTTAGATGTCGCTCGCTTTGACATCTTCGTGCGCTAGCGATCGCTGGGCAGCCGACGTAGGCCCTTGACCCTTGCCTACGCTCGCTTGCTCTCGCTTCGCTGTGTGTGTGTGTACAGAAATGCTTTCGCCTGGAATGCGTGCGGCTTGTTGTTGTTTTTCCGCTTTTCGCTTTCGCTAGATAAATACATAATTTCAGCTGCGCGCGTTGTTGTTGTGCATGTACATGTATATGAGTGCTGCTTGCGCATGCACTGCTTTGTTGTTGTATCTATGCATTGCGCATGCACCGACAGCTAAGTTTTTCGGCGCAGTACACTGCTTGCTGTCGTGCGCGCGCAGTTCAAACCAATTGTTGTTGCGCACCCACATACCGTAATTTTCTTGGTGGAAACTGTAGTTTTCCAGTCACAGATGCGTTTCGCAACCGAAATTATGCATTTTGAGCAAAATTTTGTCGTCTTTTTTTTCTTCTTCTTTTTTTCTAAATGAGAAGCAATACACTTCGCTGTGTATTCACTCCCTTTTTTTTTTGGAAAAAAAAAAAACAAAACAGCTCTATTGCTCACCCGTGTCCTCTCCACGGCTTGAAATCCGCCACATGCGCCGTCCTGGTCCGCTTTTCTGCCTCCGATCTTATCCGGCAGATGACTGGAGACACAAAACTGGCCACTATATATGGGCCTCCATAGCGTGGCGCCAGTTTTGTTGCGAATCCCTCTGCGGCATTAGACAAGTGGCGTTCCTTTGCCCACACCTTGTCACCTACGCCCGGCTTCCACTGCCGCCTCCGTAGATTGTAGTGCCGTGCCTGATCCTGTCCGGCTCTTTCCTGGTTCCGACGCACTTGATTCAGCCTCTGCCCTGCTGCAGGCGGCTGACTAGTCTTGCAGTTCTGACACCGCTTGCAACGCTGCACGTACGCCCGCGCATCCCGATACATACCGGGCCAGTAGTATCGTGCGGCCACCCGAGCAATTGTTTTTCGGCTCCCAAGGTGGCCAGCGGCGACTGCATCGTGGCTCTCTGCCAGTACTTGCTTGCGCCGCTCCGTTGGCACACTTTTGTGGCCGGCTTGATGCGGACTGTGCCGATATAAGTTTCCAGACTCTTCGCGATAGTCTGGCCACTTTTGTGGTGCCTTGCGCAGACCCTGGCGCAGCTTGGTGAGCCAACGACATCCTGTCCCAGCTGGCGTCTCCTTACTAGCGACCAAGCGGCTCGCCTCCAGAAGCTGCCGTGAGAGTGCATCTGCTACCCCATTTCGCATGTCTTTCCTGCGTCGAAGATGCCGTGGCTTTTTGGTCCTGTTGGTGCCCTTCACCTCCTTATCCACATGAAGCGGTTTTTGACTATCAGTAGTCACCTCCAGTGGCGTCTTGGGACCCGCTTCCATGCTTACAGAAACCATCGCAACCTCTCGCGGTCCCTCTCCAGCTCCACAAACTCATCTGCCAGGTGCATCAACTCCACGAGACTATGGAATTGATATGGGCGGGCGTAGGCACGCAGATCGGGCAGGCTGTTGTTATAGATGAGCTTCATCTCATGGTCTGCTCCATAGCGCAGAGGCCGCATGAGGGTCTGCATCTCCACCATGTAGACCTTAAAGCTCTCATCTACCATTTGCCTCCGGCGTTTGACGTCATCCTCCAGCTTCTCCAGATAACCTCTGGGCAGGAAAAACTCCTGGAAGCTGCGCACGAATGTCGCCCACGCCGTCCAATGCCGGTTGTTGGCCACGTACCATTTTAATGCCATGCCCTTCAGCAGCTCTGGCATCGCCCGCGGGATCATGTCCAGATCCAGGCCATAGGTGTCCGCCGACCACTCCACCTGCTCCAAGAACTCCAAAGGCTTTGTGGTGCCATCAAAGCGGAAGCTCCACTCCCGCACTTGTTTGGCCACCTTTGGATATTCCTGAGCTGTGCTGTCGTGTCCTCGTGGCCTAATTTCCGGTTGCGGGGTGGATGTGGCTCTCATCTCACCCTGTCGCGTGTCCTGCAGTCGTGCTGCTGCGCTTGTGGAGGGCACACAGAGCCGCGCCACATGCGCAAGCTCTGATTCCAGGTCGTCCTCCGTGACGGCGGTCGTTGCCTCATCCCTGGGTGAGGCACGGCGTCCATGCAGTCGCTCCAGCTCGGCGATCCTCAGTGAGTAAGGAATGCTTCCTTCATTCCTCGCAACCCACTCGCCAAACTGCCTCCGCATAACGTCTAGTGTGCCTGACAAGCTCACTCCGAATTCGTCACCATAACGCAGCACTTCATCTTTTTTAAGATTGTATACCCACACTCGCACCATATTCACAAGTATTCACTAATCACACTCTTATCGCAGGGCCCCACGTTGGGCGCCAGTTGTAACGAACCTTCGGTTTATCCCGAGTCTAAGCTGGGCTAGTTTCAGCTGACTGTGGATTCGTTGCCAACAAATTTATTTGTTGAAGCCCCTGCGATAATTAATTAGTCTTGTGGTTTAGGTTTTATAGCGCAATGGTATATTTTCTTAAATAAATATGAAATGTACACGTCACTTATGTAAATGTTTGCTGGCTCGCTGGTTTGCTTTGCGACGCACACCTACTGAGCGCTTGTTCAACGCACTCCAGCTGGGAGAGTATTGTGCTAAACACGCTAGCTCACCGTAAGGATTTGAGAAACGCCAGGATCTGGATCTGTAAACTCTGGCGGTTCGCCAGCTATGCTGATCTCTCCTACTATCTCGCTCACTCACAGCATAACACTAGCTTCGTTCACTCACAAGCACTTCTCTTACGCACGGCTACGCGAACTCACCCAGGTGTGCAGGCCTCGCTTACGTTGCTGATATGCACCGATGTCCTGATCGGCGCCTGCTGATGATCTGCAAGGATTCCCACTGGATGTCCTTGCTGTTCCCCCGATGTCCTTGCTGTTCCCACGATGTCCTGGGAGTCCTGATTTACCACTCGCGTTGACTTTCACTTAACTTTCTTCACGCACTTTCACTATATAGCTTCTCACCGGTATATTTTCGACTTCTTTTGACTTTTTCTGACCTTTTTTCGTATGGAGCCGCTGGTGGCCTTTTATACCCCAGCCACAGGCCCTGCCTCGTGTGGTAACGGGGCCTGTTCGGCTCTGGAGCGGGGCCTTCCTGCTGCTCGTGCCCATAAAAACGGTAAAGTGGCGTAATCTGGGTGACGCCACTTTCCCGCCAAATTGCGTGGCAGCCTCCCATTGGCCGAAGTACCGTTGTTGCCATGCGAGTGAAAACGTCCACTGCCCACTACCCACTGCCCATCCTGTCCCAGCTGGCGTCTCCTTTCTAGCGACCAAGCGGCTCGCCTCCAGAAGCTGCCGTGAGAGTGCATCTGCTACCCCATTTCGCATGTCTTTCCTGCGTCGAAGATGCCGTGGCTTTTTGGTCCTGTTGGTGCCCTTCACCTCCTTATCCACATGAAGCGGTTCTTGACTATCAGTAGTCACCTCCAGTGGCGTCTTGGGACCCGCTTCCATGCTTACAGAAACCATCGATAACTTCGCTTCCAGTTGGCGACTTGGCTTGGGATCTCTTGGCCCAATTTTCAGCGCCAAACCGCCACACTCCAGTGTGGTGCCTATACTAGCCAAGAAATCCCAGCCTAGCACCAAATCGTCGATCACTCCTGGCAGGATCAGCAACGGTATCTGGATTTCCTGATTTCCCAGGCTGATCGTCGTCTCCAGCTGCGAGTCCACCTGACTGCAACTGCCGTCCGCCAAGCGTATGCGCCGCCGTGTGGCGCGCACCACGCCCAGTCCTTCGAGCCTCTCAGCGAGCCTCTCACTGATGAAGCTGCTCGAGGCTCCCGTGTCAATCGTGGCCCTCTGCTGTGAGACTCCAATGGCCACGATCACCGTCAGCCGGCTGCCTTCGTCCTGAAGACTGCCCATTAATACCTGGAGGCTCCTGGCTGCTGCTCCCGCTCGCCCCTTGATGGCGGGTGCCACTGTTCGTTTCCCGACTGGCAACAGGCAAACGTTCTCACTCCAATGCGCCCGCACTGCCAGCAGAAATCCAGTGCCTTGTTGCGGCACGTAAAAGCGCGGTGCCCCTCTTGGCCACACACTCGGCATGCCCTTGCTGGATTCGGGATGTGTGTCCTTGCTCCGGTTGCGCCTGTCCTTGGCGCAGGAGAAGGCTTCACCTCATCCTCCATGCGGCGATACTCCACATCGCCTTCAGCGTCGTCCATGGCCATCAGTCGTGTCCGGCCAGGCCGTGGCTGTTGCCGCAACCTCTCGCGGTCCCTCTCCAGCTCCTCAAACTCATCTGCCAGGTGCATCAACTCCACGAGACTATGGAATTGATATGGGCGGGCGTAGGCACGCAGATCGGGCAGGCTGTTGTTATAGATGAGCTTCATCTCATGGTCTGCTCCATAGCGCAGAGGCCGCATGAGGGTCTGCATCTCCACCATGTAGACCTTAAAGCTCTCATCTACCATTTGCCTCCGGCGTTTGACGTCATCCTCCAGCTTCTCCAGATAACCTCTGGGCAGGAAAAACTCCTGGAAGCTGCGCACGAATGTCGCCCACGCCGTCCAATGCCGGTTGTTGGCCACGTACCATTTTAATGCCATGCCCTTCAGCAGCTCTGGCATCGCCCGCGGGATCATGTCCAGATCCAGGCCATAGGTGTCCGCCGACCACTCCACCTGCTCCAAGAACTCCAAAGGCTTTGTGGTGCCATCAAAGCGGAAGCTCCACTCCCGCACTTGTTTGGCCACCTTTGGATATTCCTGAGCTGTGCTGTCGTGTCCTCGTGGCCTAATTTCCGGTTGCGGGGTGGATGTGGCTCTCATCTCACCCTGTCGCGTGTCCTGCAGTCGTGCTGCTGCGCTTGTGGAGGGCACACAGAGCCGCGCCACATGCGCAAGCTCTGATTCCAGGTCGTCCTCCGTGACGGCGGTCGTTGCCTCATCCCTGGGTGAGGCACGGCGTCCATGCAGTCGCTCCAGCTCGGCGATCCTCAGTGAGTAAGGAATGCTTCCTTCATTCCTCGCAACCCACTCGCCAAACTGCCTCCGCATAACGTCTAGTGTGCCTGACAAGCTCACTCCGAATTCGTCACCATAACGCAGCACTTCATCTTTTTTAAGATTGTATACCCACGCTCGCACCATATTCACAAGTATTCACTAATCACACTCTTATCGCAGGGCCACACGTTGGGCGCCAGTTGTAACGAACCTTCGGTTTATCCCGAGTCTAAGCTGGGCTAGTTTCAGCTGACTGTGGATTCGTTGCCAACAAATTTATTTGTTGAAGCCCCTGCGATAATTAATTAGTCTTGTGGTTTAGGTTTTATAGCGCAATGGTATATTTTCTTAAATAAATATGAAATGTACACGTCACTTATGTAAATGTTTGCTGGCTCGCTGGTTTGCTTTGCGACGCACACCTACTGAGCGCTTGTTCAACGCACTCCGGCTGGGAGAGTATTGTGCTAAACACGCTAGCTCACCGTAAGGATTTGAGAAACGCCAGGATCTGGATCTGTAAACTCTGGCGGTTCGCCAGCTATGCTGATCTCTCCTACTATCTCGCTCACTCACAGCATAACACTAGCTTCGTTCACTCACAAGCACTTCTCTTACGCACGGCTACGCGAACTCACCCAGGTGTGCAGGCCTCGCTTACGTTGCTGATATGCACCGATGTCCTGATCGGCGCCTGCTGATGATCTGCAAGGATTCCCACTGGATGTCCTTGCTGTTCCCCCGATGTCCTTGCTGTTCCCACGATGTCCTGGGAGTCCTGATTTACCACTCGCGTTGACTTTCACTTAACCCTCTAATGCTGTTTTCTTAACTATTGGAGGAAAATAATTGGAACAATTTTTTTTAAAGTAAATTTAGGCTTCTAAACTCAAAAATGAACTCAGAAAAAATATAGAAGTTTTTGTTTAGCCGTCAGGTGCAAAAAAGGTAATAAGTGTCTCAAGACACTCTTGGGCATCTAAGAGTAAAAAAAAAACGTATTTAATAGAAATGTTAATTTTTATTATTCATATGATATGTTTTAAAACAATTTTTTGTTGATGTGCAGCATAGATGTAAATTACATTTTTCACAAATGCATTGCGTTTGTGATGATTTACAGAGCTTGCACCGTCTCTTATTGTCCCGATCCAACCAATTTGGGAAGTGGTTGACTTGGTCAAAACGTAATTCCGCTATTGGGTGTAAAGTTTTTTTTCCAAGTTTAAGCTCAAGCTGTGATGGTCGGGCCCGTGGGGATTGTGAAAAAGGTGACCGATCTGTTCGCAAAGATGGTGACTGCATCTGGTCTTGTAGAGATACGGTACTGACTGGACGACCTGCGTGGGCTTTATTTCTAAAAGCCACCAATCCTTCAGCGATTAACTCGCGAAAATCGGGAAGTTCCATCAATTTGTCACTGATTGCGTTTTGTTTTTGAATTCGCCTATAAAGAATATAAGCATTTGTTGCTGCCATGTCAATACAATGATAAAAAATTCGAGTAGCAGCATCTTTGGTTTTAGCTTTGATGTGATAACGGCCCATAAGTCCATCCATAAGATCAACGCCGCCCATATGTGAGTTATATTCCCGAATTATTTGCGGACAGTCAATTTCAATATGTTGCTTTTTCTTCCTGTCATAACGGTCAATCTTAAGTGTTCTTTCACTTAAACTTTCCGTAGCAAACGGTTTAACACCTACGTAAGTTGACAATAAGCGAACGGCCTTGTTATCCTTCCAAAGTACATTACTGACTTCTACCCCGTATGACGTGCCTACGAACTCAGTCGAAAACCCTCTCGGCTTTTTGTTAATGATTGTATCGTCAGGTAGCTTGCAATTGGGGATTCGATTCGCACGTACTGTGCCAAGGCTATAAATACCCTTTGCTCGCAAATATACCATTAGAGGCAAAGAGGTATAAAAATTATCAAAGTAGACGATGTGGTGCTTAAAGCTTTGTACTGTTTTGGTCAAACGTACTACTATGTTGGCCGAAGCACCAAGATCTGGGTGACCAGGTAAGACAATGTTATCGCCTGCTCCACTATAAATTTCGAATCGGTATGCATAGCCATATGAATCACACAAAACGAACAGCTTAATACCCCATTTGTATGGCTTATTGGGCATATATTGTCGTAAGTGATGTTTCATCTTTGTGCTACACATTTGTTCGTCAACACAGAGGCGTGGTTGCTTTGGCACTGAGTCAAATCTTGTATTAAGATAATCGACAAGTCTTCTAGTGCGAAATAATGGATCGTAGCCTGGTTGTCCCTTTTTGATCCGCTGGCTTTCATCACGTAATGACAGGTGCTGTTTAATTGTCTCAAATTTTGTGCGGTTCATACTGGATGCAATGGGTAAAAAGGCATTTCTTCCCCAGTAGCTTCTCATACTCGGGTAGCGATATATTGACATATATATCAAAATTCCTATATAATGATGAACATCTTCAATGTTCATTTGGAATCTTGTTGATATGTTCTCCACTAAAGCTGCGCGCATGGTTTCTTCCACTATCATATCCATGATTTTGGCATCAAAAAAATAGCGAAATATCTCTGAAGGAGTTTTGAGATTCATTATTTCAGCCGGCAATGAAGAGTCGCCTTGAAAAGCAACATTGTTTACATGCAATTGCATAAATTGCTGTCGCCACAAAATTTTGCTCGGCTCCTTTGCTATTGATTCAATACCTAAAAGACATTAATTAACTAATCACATAATATAAAATAATATATCGCAATGTTGTTGTCTTACCAGCACCAGTAAAGCCACCAGAAGATGGCAAAGCCACGCATGTTATACCTTTAATAGTTGGTAGTGGCGATCGTTGTCTTTTCAGGGATTTCCTAATAGGCTCAGACTGACCATTATCAGGCACATTCTCTTCATCATTACAAGCAAATGATATTGTGCTAATATATTCCACAGCAGCTATTAGAGTTTCTGCCACATTTAAGTCATCTTCCTCGTCGTCACTTGACTCGGATAACTCTGCATCGGAAGGGACATTCTCAAACAATTCCAACAACTGTTCATCAGTTAAATCGGATAATTTGAATCGTACCCGGTTTGCCATCTTTATATGGTTAATATGTCAGTTTCTAGTAAAACAATCCATATAATGAATAAGTGTACACACAAAATTGCAAGCAGTTGTGAAATAGCTGCTGGTAAAAAAAGTTGCTTGCAGCCCCAAAAGTGTCTCAAGACACTTATCACTGTTTTTAAGCTACAACGCACATTTTTTATTTATTTTTATTTTTGTAAACTAGTTTTAATTGTAAATAAACATACCTTCCAATAAAAAATTATTTTAAATGGATTGCTTTCACAGATTTTGTAAAATAATTGTTGCACAACAGCACATGCAGCAGATCAATTTACACGCGCGAAAAAACATATGTTTTGTGTTTATGAAAATAAAAAGTACCGTTTAAAGCACTGGAGAGCTTTTAAAGCTTTTTTCTCAGTAAATTTGAATGTTTTATTAACGATCAAGCAATATTTGAAAGACAAAAAAGCTCCCTTTTTTTTTTTAAATTTAAAAATAAAATAAGTGTCTCAAGACACTTATGAGCGTTAGAGGGTTAACTTTCTTCACGCACTTTCACTATATAGCTTCTCACCGGTATATTTTCGACTTCTTTTGACTTTTTCTGACCTTTTTTCGTATGGAGCCGCTGGTGGCCTTTTATACCCCAGCCACAGGCCCTGCCTCGTGTGGTAACGGGGCCTGTTCGGCTCTGGAGCGGGGCCTTCCTGCTGCTCGTGCCCATAAAAACGGTAAAGTGGCGTAATCTGGGTGACGCCACTTTCCCGCCAAATTGCGTGGCAGCCTCCCATTGGCCGAAGTACCGTTGTTGCCATGCGAGTGAAAACGTCCACTGCCCACTACCCACTGCCCATCCTGTCCCAGCTGGCGTCTCCTTACTAGCGACCAAGCGGCTCGCCTCCAGAAGCTGCCGTGAGAGTGCATCTGCTACCCCATTTCGCATGTCTTTCCTGCGTCGAAGATGCCGTGGCTTTTTGGTCCTGTTGGTGCCCTTCACCTCCTTATCCACATGAAGCGGTTCTTGACTATCAGTAGTCACCTCCAGTGGCGTCTTGGGACCCGCTTCCATGCTTACAGAAACCATCGATAACTTCGCTTCCAGTTGGCGACTTGGCTTGGGATCTCTTGGCCCAATTTTCAGCGCCAAACCGCCACACTCCAGTGTGGTGCCTATACTAGCCAAGAAATCCCAGCCTAGCACCAAATCGTCGATCACTCCTGGCAGGATCAGCAACGGTATCTCAGGCTGATCGTCGTCTCCAGCTGCGAGTCCACCTGACTGCAACTGCCGTCCGCCAAGCGTATGCGCCGCCGTGTGGCGCGCACCACGCCCAGTCCTTCGAGCCTCTCAGCGAGCCTCTCACTGATGAAGCTGCTCGAGGCTCCCGTGTCAATCGTGGCCCTCTGCTGTGAGACTCCAATGGCCACGATCGCCGTCAGCCGGCTGCCTTCGTCCTGAAGACTGCCCATTAATACCTGGAGGCTCCTGGCTGCTGCTCCCGCTCGCCCCTTGATGGCGGGTGCCACTGTTCGTTTCCCGACTGGCAACAGGCAAACGTTCTCACTCCAATGCGCCCGCACTGCCAGCAGAAATCCAGTGCCTTGTTGCGGCACGTAAAAGCGCGGTGCCCCTCTTGGCCACACACTCGGCATGCCCTTGCTGGATTCGGGATGTGTGTCCTTGCTCCGGTTGCGCCTGTCCTTGGCGCAGGAGAAGGCTTCACCTCATCCTCCATGCGGCGATACTCCACATCGCCTTCAGCGTCGTCCATGGCCATCAGTCGTGTCCGGCCAGGCCGTGGCTGTTGCCGCAACCTCTCGCGGTCCCTCTCCAGCTCCTCAAACTCATCTGCCAGGTGCATCAACTCCACGAGACTATGGAATTGATATGGGCGGGCGTAGGCACGCAGATCGGGCAGGCTGTTGTTATAGATGAGCTTCATCTCATGGTCTGCTCCATAGCGCAGAGGCCGCATGAGGGTCTGCATCTCCACCATGTAGACCTTAAAGCTCTCATCTACCATTTGCCTCCGGCGTTTGACGTCATCCTCCAGCTTCTCCAGATAACCTCTGGGCAGGAAAAACTCCTGGAAGCTGCGCACGAATGTCGCCCACGCCGTCCAATGCCGGTTGTTGGCCACGTACCATTTTAATGCCATGCCCTTCAGCAGCTCTGGCATCGCCCGCGGGATCATGTCCAGATCCAGGCCATAGGTGTCCGCCGACCACTCCACCTGCTCCAAGAACTCCAAAGGCTTTGTGGTGCCATCAAAGCGGAAGCTCCACTCCCGCACTTGTTTGGCCACCTTTGGATATTCCTGAGCTGTGCTGTCGTGTCCTCGTGGCCTAATTTCCGGTTGCGGGGTGGATGTGGCTCTCATCTCACCCTGTCGCGTGTCCTGCAGTCGTGCTGCTGCGCTTGTGGAGGGCACACAGAGCCGCGCCACATGCGCAAGCTCTGATTCCAGGTCGTCCTCCGTGACGGCGGTCGTTGCCTCATCCCTGGGTGAGGCACGGCGTCCATGCAGTCGCTCCAGCTCGGCGATCCTCAGTGAGTAAGGAATGCTTCCTTCATTCCTCGCAACCCACTCCGCATAACGTCTAGTGTGCCTGACAAGCTCACTCCGAATTCGTCACCATAACGCAGCACTTCATCTTTTTTAAGATTGTATACCCACGCTCGCACCATATTCACAAGTATTAACTAATCACTCTCTTATCGCAGGGCCCCACGTTGGGCGCCAGTTGTAACGAACCTTCGGTTTATCCCGAGTCTAAGCTGGGCTAGTTTCAGCTGACTGTGGATTCGTTGCCAACAAATTTATTTGTTGAAACCCCTGCGATAATTAATTAGTCTTGTAGTTTAGGTTTTATAGCGCAATGGTATATTTTCTTAAATAAATATGAAATGTACACGTCACTTATGTAAATGTTTGCTGGCTCGCTGGTTTGCTTTGCGACGCACACCTACTGAGCGCTTGTTCAACGCACTCCGGCTGGGAGAGTATTGTGCTAAACACGCTAGCTCACCGTAAGGATTTGAGAAACGCCAGGATCTGGATCTGTAAACTCTGGCGGTTCGCTAGCTATGCTGATCTCTCCTACTATCTCGCTCACTCACAGCATAACACTAGCTTCGTTCACTCACAAGCACTTCTCTTACGCACGGCTACGCGAACTCACCCAGGTGTGCAGGCCTCGCTTACGTTGCTGATATGCACCGATGTCCTGATCGGCGCCTGCTGATGATCTGCAAGGATTCCCACTGGATGTCCTTGCTGTTCCCCCGATGTCCTTGCTGTTCCCACGATGTCCTGGGAGTCCTGATTTACCACTCGCGTTGACTTTCACTTAACTTTCTTCACGCACTTTCACTATATAGCTTCTCACCGGTATATTTTCGACTTCTTTTGACTTTTTCTGACCTTTTTTCGTATGGAGCCGCTGGTGGCCTTTTATACCCCAGCCACAGGCCCTGCCTCGTGTGGTAACGGGGCCTGTTCGGCTCTGGAGCGGGGCCTTCCTGCTGCTCGTGCCCATAAAAACGGTAAAGTGGCGTAATCTGGGTGACGCCACTTTCCCGCCAAATTGCGTGGCAGCCTCCCATTGGCCGAAGTACCGTTGTTGCCATGCGAGTGAAAACGTCCACTGCTATCACCCGGCCCGAACGGCACCTCGGCTAACGGTCACCGATGATCGTCGTGCGTGTGACGCGAACCCATTGCTGAATCTGTTGGAGCGAAAGAGCCCGCCTCTAACAGGACTTTGACCCCCTTTCCAGTGCGAGGGTCGCTCCTACAGTATTCGCGTCGCTGTGTGGAGCAACATGTATATGCACGTATATGCATATAAACGCACAGCAAATACGTACGTCCATATACACTCATACGTGCATACCTATATTGCTCCTCACAATGCTATCAGAAATTTACTCGTTCGTATATGCTCGGCTCCTCACTTTAAGGCTTGGGCTACGAAAATGTACGAAAACACTAACACTTCGCTTCATGCGCTCGACCGAGATGGTCGGCTGTTAAACAGAAGATCCCTCTTACTCAATGTTCATCCTTGATCTCTCTCTCTCTCTCTCTCTCTCAATGCTCTTTCACATATGTATATGTATGTATGCATGTGAGCACAAGAAGCAGCTAACAAAAATTGATATTTCTTCGCAGCAAGACCCATGTCTTCCCTTCTGAGTGAAGACTATTCCGAATTCTTCAAACCGTTCGCCATGCTCGTGCAAAAAGTTTGCGTTTTTGTCATTATTTGTGGGAAGGGTATGAAAGCGTTGGTGCGCATAAAGAAAATGTTTTCGCGACGAGCATTCACACACACACTGTCCCTTGTTACATGTACTATCACTTTTAGAAGCATTTGTATGCCTGTGTGCGAAGCTTTTGCTGCCACTTAACTATAAACGCGATTCTGCAATTCTGCAAACTACGTGTCCGGTCTATGTGTTCTCTGGTTAGTGGTTCTTCGATTATTTTATTTTTTTCAAACGATTCAGGATATAAACACAAATCGGGAAGAAAGTATTGCGAATTCGGTTAAGTCCAAGTGCTAAAAAATAATATAGAGACTAGTTTATATATTGCACAAATCTATAATAATAATTAATCTTCAATAAGCTTCTTGATAGATTATAAAATTAAGTTATAGTTTTTATTGATATAAATCTTTTTCTTCAGATATGTGTATATACGGAGGATACAAATGATTAATTTTGTGAACATTAATTATTTGGCATACTATTAGTATTTCAAAAATTTTATTGGTAAACTTATAATACAGAGGTAATCTAACATGCTTGCATTATTGTCGCAGAATTCATAAATATTATTAACGGACTTAATTTCCTCAACCGTTTTTGTACTTTTTTCCAATACCATTTGCTTAAGCCGGTATCCAATATATGGATATAAATATATATTATTAAAAGTCAAAATTGTATAAATTATATATGTATGTAATTTGAATGTAATGATGCAATGATCATAGCAATAGCTATCGATGATTTTCAAATTTTAATGGGATCATGCTCTGTTTATTGTTGCGCACTAGACTTGAAAATTGCACTATATACTCTGGTTGACAGCGTTTGGGCTGTGAATGAGTCTTCTGCAATCGGTATCGCCCGACTGCAACGTTCTTACTTGTTTTGCGTAGCGAGGATCGAATTCTTTACCTGTAAGGAGTCTTGCATGCCTGGAATAGTCATATCTATAATGGCAAATTTTGGTTTCGTCGTTAAATAGAATAATACGCCACTTTTTATACCCTGAACCCATTTTCAATGGGAAATCAGGGTATAATGGTTTTGTTGAAATATATGTAACAGGGAGAAGGAGGCGTGGCAGACCCCACTAAGTATATATATTCTTGATCAGGGCGACGAGTTGAGTTGATTTGGCCCTGTCCATCTGTCTGTCTGTCCGTCTGTCCGTATGTTTGAACGCGTCGATTTCCGAAGATATAAGAGCTAGAGACTTCAATTTTTTTTTTAAATGTTCGCAATTACAGCGCGGATA